GACTGGGACGGACACGCCTTTGGTCCACGGTTGGTGGGCCCATTGGAGCGCAACGCCATAGCGATGAGCGGCCTTCAGCAATCCGGAGCGGCTGCTGCTGCAAAAGCCTTACCGCCTATGATCCCCTTTGGCGTAGGGGAGGAGCGACATTTTGAACTCGCACTTGAGTTGCAACAGAGACCCACCCCATTTGAAACTATGGGTGTTGTCGATGATGATTTGATCTTTGCCGCATCTGGCTATGCAGCCCAGGGAGTAGGCCTGCGGGAGGTGAGGAGACGTACAGGCCGTTGGCTCCAAGAACTCAGCCGTCGAATGTGGCCCATCACATACCACCTCCAAACATATCAGCCACCGCCCGTGCGGTCCGCCACTCAAGGCCGCCACATCGCCCTGATTGGGCTTATCATGCTGATTACTGGATGGCCAGACACTACGTTCGTGGCTAACCTGATATATGGTTTCCCTGCCGTAGGCTTTTCCCCGCATGTGCCCGTGTACAAGGCTCAACCAGCTCACTACATCCCGGACGCCTCCATCTACCAGGACGCCCTGCCAGAGGCTGCCCGCCTCATCCAAAGCCTCCGCCCAGGTGAACACGACACGGCCATTGCCCAGGCGGGTGAGGAAGACCAAGCCAAAGGCTTTTGTGGCCCCCCAATGACATGGGCCCAGCTATGCCAGGACCTCCCCCAATTCAGGCTGATCCGGAGGTTTTGTATACAACAGCCCTCGGGTAAGTTGCGAGTCATAGATGACGCTGCAGACGGAGGGCAGAGCGCACTCAGCTCGGATGCGAACAAGTTGGATTTATGTACGAGCATTCAACCTGGCCTTCATGTTCAATTGCTCTGGCAGGCAGCATCCTCGTCGATTCACGTGTCTGAGTTGTTGCAAGCTGGTATTTGGTCCGGGGGCGAAGACCTACCCAACGCCTACCGCTATGTCCCCATGAAGCCGACACATGGCAACATGGCCGTGGTGGCATACTACGACCACCACGTGGGTGGCCCCCGTTTTCGACAATACTACGGTTCTCTGTTCGGGTTACCAAATGCGGTGTGTTCGTTCAATCGATTTCCCCGGTTCTTTCAAGCTGCCTGCCGCCGCCTGGCCTATTGTATGACCAGTATGTACTTTGATGACCTGACAATCCAGGACTTCGGTATCATGGGCGGCACTGGCCAGGCATTCGTCAATGACCTGGCACGATGCCTTGGCTCACCCTTCCAAACAGAGAAACATCAGTCCTTGGCGGCTCAGTCTGATTTTCTGGGGCTGATCCATGACGTGGCTGCCTGCCACCGGGGGGATCCTGTCAAGTTCTGGGTCCGGGACCGATTGCTCACCAAGGTCACCGACATCATGGAGGAGGCCACTCAGACGCGTCGCCTCCCTCCGGGACTGGCGGCCAAGCTCTTTGGCTGCCTGGGCTTCTTGACGACGGGATGCTTCGGCAAGCTCGGCCGGTCGGGCCTCCATAGCATCAAGGACAGACATGATACTCCTCGCAAGTCGTGATGACACCGGAGATTGAACAGTCCTTTGCTAGAATTCGAGCTCTCCTTCAGTTGAAGCCTGAAAGAGAATTACCGCTCAATCCAGTACGGCAACACCGATACTTGGCAGCATCCGATGCAGCGCAAGATAGGCCCCGCGAAGGCTCTGCGGGAGTCCTGTTCATCGACCCCCGTGGTAACCGAAGGGCCTATGTCGTCCATATCAGCCCAAAGATCTTCACGGTGTGGTCCCCTCATGAGGCCAAGATTGCACAGCTTGAGCTTTTGACAGTCTACATGGGCCTGGCATATAATGCCTCATCAGTTCGCGGAATGCATGGTATATGGTTTGTTGACAATATCGCTGCCCTCATGGCTCTCATACGAGGCCGCAGCAACAACGATGAGCTGGATTCCATGGCCGGAGCCATCCATGGCCTTCTGTTTGCACTCCGTAGTGCATGCTACTTCGAATGGGTCCAGAGTAAGGACAACTGGTCAGACGGCATCAGCAGACAGGGAGAACACGACCCGTGGTTCCAACAACATGGTTTTCGTCTCTTCCACACCTACCCCCTGCTCATGCTCCTCCAGCTGCCTTACCACCTCATCGCTCAGGTCTTTCAGTTCGTTTGAGTGCTTTGGATAAGTTAGTGCCTTGGATGGAGTGCTCCCACAGGGAGAGTGTCAGATGTCAGATGACACAAGCGACGTGGGTCGCATTTCGAACCAAAGCACTTTAGTACAGACAGTACAGACCTGAATCGATTCGCAGAAAAGGGTAGCAGCAGTCGACATCTGTTGAGCGAGATTCATCGAATATATTCAATCATTTAAGGTAGGCAGGGTCGGTGATGATGAATTATTTGGGAAGCTTCGAATCAACGTCTCCCAATGTTTGAATGCTCAAGCCAAACTGGGGAGACGCCCCTTGAGGAGCAGTGTCGCTGCTGGTACCTCAAGCTAAACTTTTTCTCCCACCCTGCCACACCCTGTTAGTTACTTTCATGTCCACCTGGTGCTAGTCGAGCTGGTGGCTGACTTGGCTTGTTGCCGGAAGAGTCTGGTTACCTGGTGATAGTCGCTTCACCTGTGGCCTTGCTGGTGCTTGATGGCCGTATTCCGGGTTATTTTCAGTTACCACGGCTATGCTTGTGACGCTTGCAGCCTGGGCTGTCGGCCACGTGAGATGGGGACTGTGCTGTCTGCCGCTGTCGTCCGGTTGTCCTTTTCCGGCTGCCCGCCGCCTAGCCATCATACCTGTTCTGGCGGTCCCAGGTATCGACGATGACTAGGAAGTTTCATTTAATCTTTTCATCGCTCTGTCCAGAGCTGGCATCCGTTGTGGCCGTAGGACCGCCCCTGCGGTATCCTCTCGGTCACTACATACGGATGGAGTGCTCCCACAGGGAGAGTGTCAGATGTCAGATGACACAAGCGACGTGGGTCGCATTTCGAACCAAAGCACTTTAGTACAGACAGTACAGACCTGAATCGATTCGCAGAAAAGGGTAGCAGCAGTCGACATCTGTTGAGCGAGATTCATCGAATATACTTATATAATCTTATATATATGTATACTGTAGGGCTCGAGGTGGCTAGGTCAGATCTAGCAGAACTCGGCAGCCCCAGTGCCTGAATCAAAGGCACACCTAGTCAATCATAGTCCGATCCACATCTGATCTGAAGCCATGTGGTGTTGGTGCTGACTGCGTGTGGCACTTGCTGCTGACGCATCAGCCTAACGGTCCTTTTAAAGAGGCAGGATAGCTTCTTTACCGAGACCATTGAGGAATACCTACGTGATTTCCAAGCGCGTGTGTGCACAGTCGCATATGTGCGGCATGCGGGTTTCCATGGATGGCCAGGCGCCGTTTGACCTTGGCAAGCCCATGTGACAGAAATTGTGGAGCATATGTTGTGTGTAGACAGGACAAGGAATAAGGCGTCATCATTTGATAGGCCGATGCCCCCCAGTCCGAAATGGAAATTGCCTACAGGAAAGAACAAAAGCCTACAGGCAAGGAAGGTATCTACGTAGCTGACGAATTTCTATGTCGACTGCCTGGGCTGCTCATTCGATCTACTTGCACAAGCTTGTGCCGACGAAGCACATGTTACCCTGTTAGGAGAGAAATTGGTAGGCTACGGCAAGAAATCAGCAGGAAGAATGGCCACGCTGCCCATTATCTCCACAGAGGGGAGGCGAGGTACATTGCACTGGAACTTTGTGGTGCAAGCCATGAGAGTGGATTGGGGCAACGTACAAAGGATGAAAAGGCGGTCAGAATGCAGATGTGGTTTTAGCGGAAGGATTTTTTGATGCAAAGCATCAAGATGTTCAGAGGCGGCAAAGTACACCGAGCGTACAGTGTTTTTGCGTCAGTTTTGCTGCAGTTGACTCTAGGCTGTAGACTGGAGGAGTATGCCGCAAGCCCGAAAGAGCCCGATCGCAGATCTGGGAACTGGGAACCACTTTACCAGAGCGCATCGATGAATATCGATGAGGAAAAACCTATCGGTGCTGACTTCTGAAGGGCCCAGCGCCCACGGTGTTTAATTAATGAATTCAGTGCACTGCGGCCACGGGCATCGACCTTCGGCGGACGCAAACGGAAAATGGAACTGTATATAAATATAGTTAGCAAATTATATAGTGTAGAAGGATGTAAAAAACATATCTAAAAATGCCATAAAATGCCCTGCACTCCAGGTTTTGTGCTCGTTTTTCTCCCCGTGTCCCTTCATCTCGCATGTACCTGGGTTGTTGGCTGAAGTTACTGTACCGTTGATTGTCAATTGGACAGATCATCATTTTCTTTCTGCATTGACTCAAATTTGGATGGACCCAACACAAACAATTAAATACAGAAAGCACTCCAACAAAAAATGCAATACAATACAATACAACACCCTCTGAGAATGAGCGATGCCTCCCAAGCGCACGCGGTTTAGCGGTATCGGTATTAGGAACAAACAACAAATACGACCGACCAACTTTAATACCTGCTGCCTTTCAAACAAATCTAAATGCATGTAGATGGAACACCTGGTCAGAATATTAGTGCCATTTGAAGATGGCATTTCCCTAATCGCACACCCATGTTTTCCAGCCATAGCAGATGGCACTTTCAAAATGCAGTGTCTGAAACTTTGAATGCGGAGTATCTACCCAATAGATGTGGGTTCCAAGGAGAAACAGTGGCCAGACGGAGCTAAAAGGAACCCAGATGCCATAACATGCTGCAGTGACATGCCAGAACCTCTCGTTAGAATCCTGGATGGTGGTAAGATTGTGCGTGGAGGCGATGCATGGCGATGCAACTTATCAGACTTATCAGGGATAAGACGGGATAAGGCCGTATCTTTTCGACAGTTAACTGGAAGAATTTGAGGCAGAGCCTTTTTGTATGTGCGTTGTGTATTGCACTTTTGAATATGTTCATATCTTAGTCATTGGTTTGTGACGCCACTGGGGTCAAAAGCCAATTCTCCCAACAGGAGCTGGTGCTAATTCGACTTGCTTGTCTTGCGCGAGTGGAGGATCGCAGCGCATACCGGCAGCTAGAGGAGACCCAGCTGAAAAGAGCTCTGCATTTGATGCATTCCACTCGTTTGCCGACCAAGAGTATACCTGTAACATGCTGTAACTTGTATATAATAGTAAAACTAATGAGGATGACATTAGCCTGAGAGAGCCAAGCGCCCAGTCAAAAACGTCACGCATGTCATTATCCCGCCCACCAAAGCCCCCTGCTCTACCAAAGTTTCGAAATCCACCAAGTTTCGGAAGCCCGGTTGCACAATCTTTTGCAAAGTTGTGACTTAAAAAACTTGCAAACAGTTCCTCAAACATATATACTGTAGTTTCTGAAGCGTAGTGTCTGAAACGCACATAGTTTATGCGAATTGGTATCTGATCCGTGCATAGTTTCTGAAACGTTATCGATCTGTTTTTTCCTGACAGATCGATGGAATTCTGGCACGAATTGAAACAGCTTCACCACATCAAGTCGTGCAGTAAACACCCGGCGGCTGGATTAGGCCATCGAACATGAATGTTGCCCCACCAAAAATCGAAAGCGGTGCTTCGGAAAGAACAAGCGAGCTTTGCAGGGCGCTAAGAGTTTGTTGCCCAGGGACCGCAATGTGGAAGAGCTATACACGCATATATATATATATATACACAAGAGAAAATATGTGTAGGATTCTTTCTCCTAAGCCTTTTCAGGTCAAATGGCCTCGAGGATCTTCCGATCTTCCCCTGGAAAACTAGACTTGGACACCTTGCGACATCGCAATTGGAATCTTAGCCTGGATCACCGCTGTAGCCCAGCAACCCTTGAAGCCTTCTCTTTGCTGTTCTACCAGCCACATGGCGCATCTGGTGAACTAGACGATGATCCTTGCACTATATACTGTACACTGTACACCTAACCTATAGTCGCACCAAGCGAATGCATGACTTTCGCGACAAGTGTTGGTTTACCCTAAATATCCTTGCCTTACAAAACATAGTAATAGAAGGCGGGTGCAGTGCCCTGGCTTTACAGCATTCAACAATCGAGAGTACATTCCCCTCTTCCGCTAAGCCGCTACGATGTTACAATGTTAATCACTCTCGAACACTGCACTTTGAGGAATGCTGGGCTTCCTTGGGATCAGGGGAGAGATCAACGCTCTTGCACCACTTCTTAGCAGATGGGATCGAGGACACTGCCTTCGTCTTTGAATTCTTACCCGACTGTGTGGCCAATGCAGTGCGCAATCCAAACATTGGCTTGACATGTCTTTTGGAAATACTAGTTTGCCTCTTGAACATGCTTCAGCCAGCGGCACCTGGCATGCTTGCAAATATGGAAAACTGCAAGGTCATTTTTGTGAATCTTGCCGACATGAGCGAGTTCATTGCTTGTGTGCGAAACCGCTTCGTGTTTGAGACGTGCGTCTCACGCTGCAAAGTACGATTTACAGGGGGCAGAGTACTTTTGGAGATGACAGGTAGCAATTGGGCGCGAGTGAATGAGCCAAACTCGGATATCACAAGCCTCGCCTACAGCGTGAAGGATGTGTTGCAGAAGCAACGTACATTGGAAACTCAGCTTTTGCAAAGAATGGGAGGACCGCTACAGCAACGGGTTATTGAAACCTGGGGAGTCTAAATCAAAGAGGTGGTGGAACTGCGCAATGCACGCATTCTACTGTGTATGTCACAGGCCATGATTTGTCCTTGCGAAAAATGTCAATCCTGCTGCTTTCATGTGGCTAAATGTGCATTCTTTTCCAAAAAAGCTGCTGGCTGCAGACTGGAAACTCAATTCTGCAAAGCTGGCACTTTGCACCACAGCCTTGGCATTGCATCACTTCGTTTCAGGTACTGTACATGTGATATTTTCTCCAAGTGGTGTCCAACGTATATATATATATATAATTATACATACATATTAATATGTACGCCTCAGCAGTGCTGCAAGGCCATAGCGCAGCCAAAGGCTGACGCCAAGACTGCACTGAACAGCAAGAAAAGAGGCTTTGGCGCTGAACTTATGCGTCTTGACATGGAGTTTCCGCAACATATTTCCACAAGTGCTGGTAGTCAGGAGGATGTCAGTAAATGCCGTTGTGTTGCTTGCATGCCTCCCAGAGAGAGAGAGAGAGGGAGAGCGGGTTGACTTCCCGGACAGGCAGACATAGATTGTACATATGCATGAAGAAGCACCAAGTCGCATGTTTAGATACCACCGTTGGTGTGTTTGGATGGGTAAGTTGCATGGCCGAGCGCAGAACTTTCTGGAACAGGTGTGTGATGCTGCTCTTTGCCAGCGGGGCAGACATATAGTGTCAACAGCATTTTTTACTGGCCGCGGGCCAGTAGGTAGGCACGGACATCATTATCACCGTGCCTGTTTTTTTGCTAGTGCAGCTCTCAACGAAGACTAGACACCGTGCATGATAGGCTCATCGTGCATGCGATGCCTTTGTAGCGTGAATCGGGTTGCATTCAGTTCTGATTGTTGGCAGTGTGCACTAAGTTTAGGAGAAGTCTTGAGCCAGGTCACGGCAGTTTGTTCGTTTGACCAGGCTGAGCACGTTGAATTGCCACCTCCAAAGTTGATTTGGAATCGCATGTGTCACCATGGTCCAAGAGGCCAAGAGGAGGAGCAATCGAATTGGTTTGGCCAAAAAACGAGCTGATTGCCCGGCTGAGTCATTGAACATGTATGTCTCATAGCCCAGCTAGAATACACCAACGCAACAACAGTTTCCAATAAGACAGCAAACATGATGCCAAGTCCCGAACGCTGCCCGGGCTTCAAGCTCGCCAAAATGTACAAGAATCGGCCGACATAGAAGAACAAACAGAACTTGCAGCAAACAGGGCAGGGGTGGACAGACACGGCAAGATCGTGACACATTACCGAAATCTTATCCAAACTCTCAAACAGGCATAGACACGTGTGACACACATGGGTCCTCGGCGTGCTTTGACAGGCCTGATTTGCCGAAGACCAGTTTCAATAAGGCATGTTGCCTCTTTTGGTGACACTTGGAATGCCTGTATGAGTCGGGAAGAAGCGATAGACATCATGATGTATATATATATTATATTCATTCATTCAATTCACTCATTAATTCATTCATTCATTCAATCAATCATTCAATCATTCACTCACAGATTCACTCACGTGTGGAAACCTGCCGCCAGGCATTTGGCTCGAGGTTTAGGAATGTGCTTGCTCACACGTTTGTTGTACTTGTGCTTACGTGTCCCTTTTCTAGACTAGCTCGATCCAAACGCCCCAATGCCATTCCAATGGCTTGGCTTGGACTTGTGCTTTATGCTGGCTTTCTGCCAAGCTCACTCCAGCCAGCTGAGACCTTGCACCAACCAAATTCGTGAAAATTGCAGCGAAGGTCGCTTTGTGCCATGCGGGTCCACCAAAAACCGTCACCATGACTTCAGCATGCTGCATGCTAGAGATGCTACCAAGTGCCATGCCCCAGCTGGGAGGGTTCAGCCTGGGCAGATGATTCTTGTTGAGTTTTTTTCAGGGCCACCTGATGTTCAAAATGGCAAGTGTATGGAGATTCTTTTGGTAGTCGGCGAATGCTGGGGTTTGGATTCAGATGGGGATTCCTATGACTGCCTTGGCCTATGTGGAGTTGGCTGCCAGGAAAGCGACGTTTGCTCCAACTGGTCTCGAAACTGTTTGAAGCATGATGTGTGCAGCTACTACTACAACTCCAGAGGTGGAGCTGCAGATCCTCACTGTGGCTGGGCTTTCAACATCGCAGCTTCGGATTTCTTGCAGCCTTGCGCTGTGGATTCAGCCTGTACCCTGCCCAATTTCAACAGGAAGGCTGAAGTGTGCACGAAAGCAGCGGGATCAGGAGAACGCGTCGTTTAGTGTGCGAGATTTCTTCAACAGGCCGGTCGAGGTTCTAGAAGTGAAAGGCTGGAGAAAGATGAATGGCGTGTGACAGAGCAGACTGCGACTGCAAGGAAGAAACCTGATTTGATATCGCTTGATAGCACAATCCATTTAGAATCCACAATTCGCCTGAGCCAGACGACGCATAGAAGATCCTTGTGGAGATGAGCAGGCTGCAGGAGGTCCTCCCTGCGGCCTACTAGTGGACATGGTCGAAGAGCTTGATGATTGATGTGTCACCCTGCAGCACGGCCGGTTTGACCTGGCCACGTGCCAGTTGAATCCAACATGGTCAAAGGCTCTCAAGTGAAAGCGTTTGTTGAAGTACAAACTACCTGCTGACATACAAATAACCCATGAGAGTTCGATTTGCTGCGCTGCCACTTTGTTGTTCTATGCCAGGCTGGAATTTGCATGGGTTGCTGAGCTGCACGATTTCGGTTGAACCGTTGAATGGTGATCGAATGCTGTTTATTTGCACGTGTTGATTGCTGAGTTTTTATTTGATGAATTTGAGATTATATAGCCCTTACAGTATTGAATGTTGTTCCGGACGGCCACCACCCCCTTCCCCACAGAGTTGCAATGTTCCTGTGAAGAGGCAGATTGGAGAAATGGAAAAGTGATGGGACGTGCATGCTTTGTTATATATATATATACAGGGCATGGGCTGCTTAGAGCTGGGCTCAAGATGATGGCGTCAGACTTGCCAAGTTCCGGTAGCTGGTACCAGCACGGTGCCCCAAATCAGCCTGTGCAGCTCACAACATGTGCCAAGAAGCAGTTCCTATTTGCATCTATTTGCATGTGTGGCCTATAGCTTATATTCATCGCCTGTGCCAGGCCCAGAGCAGGGACTAGTACATGGTTCTATTATGTTCTATTTGGCATTTGAAACTCAATTGCCAGCCTTTGAGCCAAGGCCATGCTTCTGCAAAAGAAGCAGCAGGGAAAGCCTTACTGCACCCTGACTGCATACCACAAACATGTTTCACGGTTGCTTTTCGCGTTGCCCAGCACCTGAACCTCTTCAACCAAGGTCGCCGACCGCAGGTCAAGAAGGTTCCAACTGTCTTCCAGCAGCTACACATTCGATACAGTGGCATGGTTGGCACATGTTCAAAGTCAAACAGGCAGGTACAGGCCAGATTTCAGCTCCCAAAGGACAATTTGGCTGTTCAACTGTGCGGGATCGTTGGTTGCGGTAGCTTTGCCCCTGTGTCATCACATCCTTGCTCTTTCGTTGGAGATTTGTCCGATGCCTGCCATCCTGTGTTCCTCAGGAGAGGAAGTCCAGGCTCAAAGGCAGCCTAGCAGCACGCAAGGCATAAAGCATAAGATATCAAGCACATACACACGCACATATATATATATATATATACAGTATATATTTGATTGTATTTGGCAGATTGTTCTCGTGGCGATGTTTGCTTCCTAAGCCAAGCTTCAGGACTCATCCAGCATCAGGTGCTCTTTTCAATGTTGTTGTGATTCTAATGATTTTCTTGAATACAGCTGCTTGGCCGAAGGGTGTGCTTTGGGCATCACATTCCACACACCTTCGCATCAGAGAGTTTTATCATTTGTTGTAATTAAACAGGAGCCGAAAATGGCTTGTTTTGGCAAACGTGGCAGCATGTTGGTGGATTGAGCTGGAAGCACATTCCTTAGATAATTATGACAATTGAATCATATACTGTATGATATAGCTGATATCCATGACCGTGCCGCAAGGGATCCCCTTGTCGTAGTTTTTGGGACCAATCAATCTCTGAGGCAGCTAGATAGGTGTTTTCCGATGCAAAGGGGTGAGACTGGAGGAGCTTAGGGCCTAGGGCCTAGGGATGATGAGCTAGCTTAGCTGGGTGGCAAGGCTTCACTTAGATGATCATATATGATCATATATAATCAGTTGGCTTGGTTATTTAATTTGAGGATGATGGTGCGTTATGGTGCGTTCAGAATTATTTAAGTTGCGGGCTAAGCCCCCGAACTTCCAAATGCATTGAATCCAGAGGGGAGCCAGCGCGGTGGAAACCGCCACACTTCTACTAGTCGTACTACTGCGATGGCTCTTGCTCGTGACACTAGTCTGACCACGCGTGGGAGTTTCAATTGGATTGAGCACTGCGAGTTCTGCAATGTTTTGTCCCGGCACCCTTGACTGAGATAGTGATCGGCATCGAAATGGACCTCACTCGAGCCAGTCACCTCGAGGAGTTTGCAGAATGTTTCTTGTGCAGTAGGGCAACATTGTTCGAACAGCCAGTTGGTAAACTACGGTAAAGTGTCACACCCTTCCAGGAGCGATCGTATTGGTTTGCGATCGAAGCTTTATTTGCTCTGTTTTTTCTTTTTGAATGTCTTCTACGAATACATCAGCTTGGATACGACTATTTCCTGGATCCTTGATTGCACTGCACTGTTCCTGCATTTGCCATTTTGTAGTTTTTGGCTGTAGTGACTGGGGGCCCTTGTTTGTGGTCATGCAAGACAAGGATGAAACGGACGCAAAGGTACTACGCAGTGGCCATGTCACGTCTTGAAAGCTTGGGCCCCCCTGAGCTCGGGTTTTGAATGGGCACTTCTACTGTATTCCAGGCTCAATTGTAGTCTCAAATGACAGTGAGTCCAAGTTTGGACGAGCACACGTTCGTCAGGACTCTTGGAATGTGTACGACTATACGCTGGTTGTATTGAGTGGAGCTGACATTGTGGCTTTTTAGATGCATGGATCGGTTCTGCCCGGGGTGTTCAATGCTGGCGTACCAGACCTATTGAATCTTAGCAATACCGTGTTCATGAGGAAGCCTTGAAGAGATAGGGGCCACATGGGGCCACAACCACAAGCACGATCGTGAGTGGAAATAGACAAGCCAGCAATAGATTATCCTTTGGTGCAATAGTAATGTTATGATTTTTGACGCAAGGTATCTGTGACTATACCTGGCTCTGGTGGCCTTGGAATTGCGAAGTCCCTTCGCATTCTGCGGCTCTTGCGAGTTTATCGCAGCATCAAGGGCTTGAAGGCACTTTCAGGCAGGGGGCCCGAGAAGCAGCGATCATTGCAGATTTTACAACGGTTGCCATGTTTTTTTGAACAAAATCCATCAGCTTGTTTATGATACTTATCTTGTTGACTTACAACTTATAGGTCGCTTACAGGTCTCTCAACATGCTCGGGTTGTCTCTGAATCTTTCGAGCATGCCCCAGATTTGATATGAATAATAAGGCCTTCACCACCAGGAAGTTGGGGAATGTTCCAAAGGTATGTTGAACAGTTCTTGCTTGAAAATTTGTATAATTGAAAAATATTGAAAACATATATTGTTATGTTATAAATTGTTATAATATATAATGTTTATAATCATAGTTTTACAATACAATAATTCTATATAGCATATTGCATAATTTACCGTTTACTGTAGTATTTTGTATTGTATTGATATCAGATACTTAACATATCCTGTAAAATTAGCCATTGCTTGAACTGCATTTTCTCATCAAAGCTTCTACTGCGGACTGTATTCGGTTTGCCCACGTCTTTGCTGACTTGAGGTCTATGGGTCATAGTGCAAGGGTGCTTGGATTCGCTTCTTGCCGTGGACGCCTGGCATAGCAATGCCAAACCCAGAAACAAACATCACCATCGCAAGCTTCAACCGGGTCGTATCGACATTACCTTCAAATATGCACCAGGTATGGGTGACAGTGGCTTTGTTCATATTCCTCTTCATGTTTGCAGTGATTGTATGTACTATGGTTGGGCAAGATCTTGACATACGCAGAGCTCCTTGGTAGCACACGAACGCACTTGCATTATTGTGCAGCGAGGGGAAGTCTCTAGGCATTTTGCTCAAACTTTCCTGGCAGAAACTCTGGCGATGGTGGGTGACTTGATTCATTGCCAGGAGTGGAGCCACGCAGATTTATATGTTGGCTCCCTTTGGAAGGCAGTGCTGACAATTCTCCAGGCACATGTGCTGCGCAGAGATTGACTTCGTTGTAGGTTGACACTGCCTGCACGGATGAAATGTCTTTTGCTGTCCACAGGTATTCACTGTTGACAGCATAGGAACTACGTTGGGCCAGCCTTTGATGAAGATTTCGCCAGCAACTGCCGCGATGCTTGTGACACCTGCTGGACATATTACTTTATGATTGCAATGTTTCCTGGTCCTCTCTTCTTCAACTGAAGGTTGGCTGATGCTTTTGCATGGGTTAGGGCATTTCTTGGGGTCTCCACGAAGGGGCGGAGTGATAGATTCACTATGATTCACTCACAGGCGTTTCTTGAACATACAATGCGCATGAAGATTTTGCCAAGACACACAAGTTGATCGGGATTCCACTGCAGTCTCGCCGGCGGTACTCCCTTTCAACCACACGCCCCATTTCAAGAGAAGACTTGCTCGCACAAAGCAATCACTTGACAACTTGAAAGCACCAATGCAGGGCATCACGCAGGTTGAACTATTTTTGAAGTTAGATGATTGCACATGTGTTCCAATTTGGATGTGTATAACAATGAGTGGATTTGGGGTTCATGTTTTGCTTACGATTCATGTTCTCACCCCTTTTTTTCTGACTTTTGCCGAAGGGCTGTTGAGGGACGGGATTCATAGCAAGTAGTCGTGGTATGTAAAGTCAGTCCTTTATCAGTCCTTTATGTTTTTTTTGCTGGTGTTGCGTGCGAAAGATCCCTTGTATCGTATAACATGTATTACTGCAAGCAACTTGCAACATTGCAACAGCTGCCCCGCTTCAGTGGCAAAGTTGGCCAGAATTTGTACCTTACTAAGGATGTCTGTCATTTTCCTGAATTTTGGGTGTATCAACATCCTGGTGGCGGTCATGGTCGAACACATTGTGAGCATTGCGGCTGAAACCAGAGAAAGTTTCTCCAAGGCAGGCTTCGGAAAGCAACAACTGTGCCTGCTAGGATATGCTAGGATGGTGTAGAACAGACACCGTTTCCCTCGGCTATGATAAAAGATTGTATTTTGGTGGATATATAAACATCGTTGTGCAGGTGCTGGCAAAGGTAGAGAAGAAGGTTTTTGCTGCAATGCTGGAAGAGTTGACGGAATATTGCGATGATGGAGACACTCGGTGCGACTGTAGTTCTCCATGATCTAACCACACTTGTGCAATGGTGTTTTGTGAACAAGCTTTTGGGCATAAACAAATCCTGGAATTATTTGTTGCATTGAAGTCTAGGGCATTAAATTCTAAGGAAGGTGGCGGAGAACTGACCTACAAGGAATCTGAGTCTATGCCGGAAACGCTTTACGCTTGAGCAAATGCCATCGTTATGGTATACCTGTGACATTCAGCGAACATCAATGAACATAAAATTGGTGTGAAATTTGTTAATGTATATACACAGATCAGTAAACAGGTTAGGGTCTTGGGCACTGTTTTTTCAATTTTTATAAATGTGGCTTAGGTGCGGAAACAAAAGTGCCTCTTTCCCAATTCCAAGCGGCCAGAGGGTTGGGGACCACAGGTGATGGGAGAAGAAGTTGGACAGGGAAGGGAGAGAGAGAGAGAGAGAGAGACAGAGAGACAGAGACAGAGACTTTGCGTCTGCACGCCTCTCAGCGAGTCTGATGTGCTGATGCTCGACTCAAGCGCTATGTGGTGGCAGTGCTTGTTGGGCAGTGGACCAAGGAGCAATGGCTGGTCAATGGGTCGTGCACCTGTGTGGCACCTGGCCAAGCGACTGAAGTCAGGGCATGGGCCACCGGCTGCTGGATTCTCCTTAAAGCCTTTATGGGGGAGATCAGGGTGAATCTACCCAACAAGGCAGCGTGGCAGGTGACCTCCAAGAAGTGCAAAGCAGAGAGCATTGCCGACCTTTTGGCACAACCTGGGCCCTGCGGAGTGGCACAGGCTGCAACTGTGCCATGTGTCGGTGAGTCAGCTTCGCACCAATCCGGAGCTCCACAAGGCCTTGGCCCAATATGAGATTGCAGCTCAGCTTGCAGCGGGCAGGGCGGCCGCGGAGTGCCCTTTGGATCGCTTGGATGAGCTGGCAGCGGAAGATCCTGATCATCGCCCAGCGGAGAGGGGACGCATATGACCGATGTGATTGGTGCCTGGGAGCAAGCAACTGTCGTGGCATGTGATTCGCTTTGACTCTCATGCACTACCTTTTGAGCCCGGCCAGCAAGGTTCAAACTTTTGATAATAGCGCACCAATTAGCAGGCCGCATGGGCTCCACCAGCCCCTGTCAGCCAAGGCCCCAGGCGTGGGAAGGGTGGCAAGCCCAGGATTGATGTGCTCCGGCAGCTGGCCCAACAGCCATCAGAGGCAGGACATGCCTGGTCACTGCACAACAATGGGTTGATGTGCACATCAAGGCGTGCTCCGCCCATGAGGAGACCAACAGAAAGGCCCAGGAGCGCTGCGCAGGTCAGCCAGAGGTGAAGTTGAAGGCCCTCATTGATGAGATGACCAACCAGCCGGCAACAGCTGATGGTCATGAGTGGAAGCTGTCTCATAGCCACGTGAAAAGTCGCGAGTGCTGGGTGGAGCTCAGTCGGCGTTGCAGCAACGAGGCCTTGCTTGAGCTGAAGGGCACTCCGTGCCTCTACGGCCCGTTTGAGCCTGATGAGGATTTCAAGGGAAAGCAACACCTCTCCCACGACTTGGTCCAGCGTGGAGCCCATGTGGCGTGCGCGAAATGCAAGAAGCATTCCCTTTTCAATGAGGGACGCCGTGGGGCATGGTTAGCTGTGGTTTGCAATCCGTTTCCTTGCCAGCGGAAATTGCACTTCCGGACATCCAGCAGTCCGCAAAGTGTTGGATCGCCGCTTTTGGCAAAGCAGCGGCTGGGGAGAACCCCATGATCTGCAGAAGCAAAAGAGCCGAGACATATAGCCCCTTGGCATTGTAATTGGTCATTGGCAAGAAGATGACTTTTGTGGTCTGTGCACTGCAAAATCGCCAGCGCAACCACATCAAACCGGCCCGTCTATGGTTGCTTGGTGGTCCTGAAGTTCCTGAAGGCCATCTTACGGAAACATCAACTCCACCTACCCCCGGCGCCATTCATAGAGGAGCCTCTTCAGATCATTGCAGATCTTTTCCCTGATGCGGATATTTGGAGTGCCGGCAATTGGCGCAGGCTGGGAACGCCTCCAGGCGCCAGGTGGAACAGAGCGGAGTTGCGGCTCAGAGGAGTGGGAGGAGCCAAAGTTGAAAGATGCGGGGCATCAGCTGGCCCACGAGAGCGGACCACTTCATGAACCAGAAAAGTGGCCCGGAGTCGGTCAGACAACCTCAAGCTGTCAAGCACATAGGGGCACGAGGGTTGGAGCCTTCTCTCGGCTTGTGCAGAGGGCACTTGCAGACAGACAACGTCAATATCAAGTGTGAAGTGGAACAAGAGCTGCTCGACTCATGCCGATTTGTTTAGAAGGAGGACACTGCCTTCTCAGGTCGGCCTGGCCAAAGGTCGAGACAAGCTGCTCAAGATGATTGGTTGGCAGTGGCCATTGTTGGCAGCTGCTTGGAAGCCAGGCCGGCCTCCAGAGCCCCAAATCCACTTTGGAGCAAACGACAGGTGCACTTTGTGCATAAAAGGGCTATGACCATGCACAAAAAGGGAAGAGAGGGCGAGAGAGAGAGAGAGAGGCAGAGAAGGGGAGAGATAAAAGTATAACGAAATTGAACGCTTGAAAAAAAAAGCAATTAAAGATTTCGAGCGCCAGAAAGACAAATTTGATCAAATTTGTGTGGCTTCACGGTGCCAGAAAAAGCGCAAACTTGCAGCTTCAGGCTGCAAAGTAGGATTGGGCACCAAAAAAAAGGAACCAGCAAAAGCACAAAACTGGATGAAACCGAGCACCAACACCAGAAACAACACACCACTGACTGTCGGAAATTGAGCGCCAGAAACACGACTGCACGAAGTCGAGAATCGCTAGAAAAGGCATGATGTTGGCTTTGCCCCACCGGCCCCACCGGCAGGCCTTCGCCACAAGAAAGGATAAAAACCTTCCCAAGAAATCCCAAGAAAAGGTCTGAATGAAAACCTGCTCAGCCCCAGCCCCAAGAAAGGATTGGAAAGGAAATCGTCTCCCCAACCCCAATTTTTCTTTGTAATTCATCCTCGGTTGTGTTGCCATTTGCGGAACCAGGACTTCAGCAAGGTCATTCGAACGCCCAGTGTTGTGGAGCCTTGGGTTGCACAAGTCCCAGGGCTCAATGTTCTCATGCAAAGCTGACACTGCAGGAAAGGTTGGTTTTCTGTTAGCAGCTGGTAATGTAGACTCTTGATTAATACACCCCCCCATTTGAATTGGAAATCCTCTTCGATTCAAAGGGGGGGGTTATTAATCAAGAACCTACATTACTTGTAGATACTTTTGGGTGCTATGGCCAGTTCGCCGAGTAATATAATAGCAGAATGATCGAGTCGAGTGACAACGACACTCGGTTTGTGACAAGCCAACGTGAATGGAGCGTCCAAGACCTCAGAAATTGTGCACGATGCTTTATGTCATCATGCAGGTAACGCACTCGTGTTAGGCTGGGGAGCGTTCACGAACCTGCCACATGCAGACTTTCCAACGGGCAATTTTTTGTCCCAGCCATTTTGAACACTCCCATTGCCAAACCTGTGAGCCTTTGTCAGTTATAGTTGAGGCACGAGTCCCCCAACAGTTTCTCCTGCAGAGGCCTGGACACAATGCGTCCCATGCCTCATTTTCACCACACAGCCTGGTCTAGTCATTTGATGGATTTTTTTGCCTTTGTGTTCGAAGCACTGAGGAGAAAATGAAGTTGTTAAATTTCTGTTGCTTGGTTTGGCAATTGAAAACGCTATTTGGCAAGACACGCGGAGCTTCATGTTCGCCTGCCAAAGCTTTGAGCAGCCATGACTGATGCTGCATGATCGATTACGCCGATTACGTGCTAGCCGTGCTTCGCTTTCACAAGCAAAAAGCTCAGCTTGATCCCTGGATTAAGCTCCTGTAGGAAGTGGTTGGGCAGAAAGCACATACAGTTTTTCAAAACAGTAGCAGTACGTGCATATGTGTATGCGGTATCCCCAACTGCGCTAGAGTTTTGAGCGCAGCTGAATTGACAAGACTGTGACCTGGCACTTGGTAAGTGTTGTGCACTTTTGCCGGTTCAGTTTGTTCCGTGGATGTACCTCGTAGCTTTAAACCTAGCCCGGCTCTCCCACAACCAGGGTTTTATCAAGAAAGGTGGCTTAAAAGATCTTTAAAGGTACCTGACTCCTCCTTGCGAAGAAGCCCAGGTCTAGCTTTTCTTACCTCGGCGCATTTGTTTTGCTTCATCCATCTCACTCTATCCATTCCACCAAAAAAGTGCAGGGCATCGCCCTTTTGCTAACCTTGGGATGCTGCAAAGTTCTACAGTGGTCCTATGTGGCTACCGGAAAGGATATGATATGTGTGTGTGTTGGTTTTTTCATTCTGCCCGTGTTGTGCTTTTGAGGTTTCGATGAAATGGAGCTCCTTTTTGAACTGATGGACGCTGATGGGACTCACAGTTGCAGTTTGAACTTTGGAGCTGCGACACCCCTTCACGATCTCTGACCACGCAAATTGTCGACATGATGCTAGAGGATCAAACACCAGCCAGAGGAAAGAAAATAGGTACGACAGATTGCGAGCAAAGAATGTCTGACTCAAATCCAGTAGGTTCATGACACTGGTGTTTGAGTACATGGGCCAATGACCGCGTTGTGGTTTGTGGCCACAACTTACACTAGATGCAAGACAGGATCAAGAGCGGGAGCCTTCTGCAAAGTCTATTGGAGCTAAGCTGGCATGTCATACTGTCCACGTGCATAAGGTTCACCGTCAATGATGTCAAACTTTGTCAAACTGTATGACAAAGGAGCGGCTCTGTCAGCCCAAAGGAGTTCGTAGCAGGATTGAAGAAAATGAAAGGCCGGGTGGCATCGCTGGAGCACAACAGATTGTTGTGGACAAACGCTACAACAGGCAAAACATGAGATACATGAGTTTTACCAAATCCGGAAAATGCCGCAATCATTCGTGTATGAAAGTCAGTCAAATCTTTAGACATAGGCTAGGAGTTCAATTTGTGTTCTTCCGCAGCTAGCCAAGAGGGCAGGAAGGAATCGAGTTTGGAATTGGCCAAGGAAGGATTTATATAAGGATCTATATAAATCAACCCCCTCCTATCAAGGCCCTGCTAGTCCTGAAAAGGTTGATGCCATGCCAGTTCCCACTGCACCGTTGAGTTGAGTCATGAGTTGAGTCAGGGGATGGCCTCTCCGACATTCAATGACAGTTATACATATTCTTTGCTAACCTTGAGCCCTTGAGCTTTGAAGAGCCAACCCATTAATTTTATCACAACTTATTAAGCCATGATTAAGCCGTGCTCCCACTTCACTTCAGGCTTCTCGTCAACTCACCTCCTATTTCGTGCATTATGTGAATTGTGTAATTATGTAGCAGAAGGGTTTGCACAGGATTGGGTCTTGCAAACCGAGGCATCCTTATACTGCTCCTCACTACAAGCAGTAATTAGGGAGCCACCTTTCCATCCACTCTAGCCTTTGTTTGGTCCCACCAAATCCGCCACCATGGATTCCGATGGCGTACCGGCGCCTTCCGTCCTCATCACATTGTTTGTCTCGTGTCGTCATCACAGTTACTCTAACTTGTGTAGCTAATCTCTCTTCAGTCTTCTTCATCTTCTTCACTCACCCCCACCCCATATCTCTCTCTCTATCGGTCTATGTCATCTATGTCGATGTATAATATAGTATCAACTTCCGCTTGTATTCCTGGGCTGCCTCCAAGTCATAGACTCATAGACACTATTGAGCATATTGAGTCACTAGACGTGAAACAACTTGCTTTTGCGTTTTCAGAATCATCTCCTGTTTCTTTTGCACCCATTCTTCAGCAGGGAAACCGATGAGTTAGTTTGCCTCCCGCATTGTCACAGGCCCAGCACTTGGCGCAGACGTGGTGCGACTCATTGGCTTAGCGCAAAAGCAGCAACTTGGGCTAGAGTGGAAATATTGAATAATTGAAGGTCTGAGCAACACACAATCTGTCCACTCAACTCTGCATTAACAGAGGAACCATCGAACCTTTTTTGCCGCGATCAGAGAGGTTCAATGATCAAACAAACCTGGAACTAGTATGTTGATGAGTTTGAGGAAAAGTTTGCAATGCTAGCCTCTAGCCGCTCTGGCCATTGGTGCGACAGGTATTGGAGAGCCCTTGGCTTCAACCGAAGACTGAAAGTTCTGAATGAAAAGGTGCAGCTCATCCCAGCGTTACATATATGATGTGTATTCATGTAACGAGAGACAGAGAGAGAGGCGTACATAAATACAGAAAGATATGATACTGTAAATATATATATATATGATATAATATATATATATAGAGAGAGAAGCTGTTGGGTGAAATAAGGTTTGAACTCCAAATATTATCCTCTATTAATGTGATAATGTGCTGAGTGCTACATACGCTTTTGCTGGGCTCCTGGCTTCCCCTGTGGTTTCTTGTTGCTTGGATTTGATGGGCCTTCTTCTCAGTGATTGGATCGAGTTGATTGTGAGACCCATCCAGGCTGACCTAATCCAAGAGCACTTTGGCAGCAAGATTAGACAGCAGCTTGGGAAACAAGTGCATGTTTTGTGCATATTGACGTGCTCACTGCCCGCGCAAATGCAAATGCAGGCGCCTGAACTTCTTGGGAAAGCATTGCTCCGAAGAGATGGTGGAGCGATGCCACAGCGAGGCCACACAGAAGCTTTTTTGAAACAGCATCTCACAAGATGCTGCTAAGATGCATGAATGCACTTCATAGAACTTCTAGATTCTTAAGCTCAAAAGGCCACCCCAAGGGTCAGCTATGGGGCGTCGGAGACTGAATAGAAACTCCACGGCTTCAAGCCTTGGGACATGCACACGAACCCACAAACGAGTCCATCGTCAAGATTATTCGTTCATTCAGGTACGCCAAGAAGACGCCTTGAAGCAAGCAGCGCAACGGCAGCTTGTAATTCTTGAAGGTGACGAAAAGAGAAGAACTACATACCCAGGCTAGTTTGCTGTCATCAATTCACTGTTTCATGTATGGGTTGAAGATCACTTGACGCCAAAGCTGTGAATTGTGAGCGCAATCGGATGATTGGAGGCTTGCTTCCTGCAGAGAAGAAGAAGCCGCTTCGAAAGGCTCCATGGGAAGAGGCCTCCGAATTCAGTGACGACCTACCAGAAGTAGAGCTGGTGGAGGAGTCTGAGGCAGGAGGCACAAAGGAGAGGGTGCACTGATCGAGAAGGCAACGGGCAAACTGCGCCAGTGCATACTGAGCCCGGGCTTGCGTGGTCAAGCGTGCCAGGAATCCAAGCCCATGCAGAGCAGTGCATGCCATGCATGCCAGTCGTTTTTTTCTCCAAGAGGAGCTGGAGAGTTTCACGACAGCGACCTAATGGTCGCAGTTTCACCTGTTCATTGAATAAGATGTCGTGCCTGAGGAACCAGCTAGTGGCGGCTAAGGCTTTGAAGCAGCTGGGACACTGACCTGCGTGACTGTCACATAATATTTAATATGATATAGTATAATAGTTTTAATATATGTACTATATTACTATATACCCCCCAAAAAGGCTTGTTTCCTCGTGACACATGATCTTCAGTTCAATGATTCTCAGCTTGTTGTTTTCTGACTTGGTTGCAATGTTCTATGATGTTGTTTGTGCTGTATGTGTCTATGCCCACGCGGTGTTTGTGTGTGTCCCTGACTGACTTACTTCAATGATTCAAGCGCGAGTTCCGCACGGTAAAATTGCTTGATGAGCTAGGCATGGCGTTGACTTGAGAAAGACATTGGGAAGTATTGACAAGGTTCTTAAAACCCGCGATACCCCTTCGCATTTATATAGGTGTGGTGATGTATATGTACTATAAATAGATAAGGGGCGGCCACTGGCACAAAGATGAGGTTTGAACTATGACGATGACAAGTCATGATGTCGTTGGTTTTCCATTTTTTGGGCAGCAGCTTCCTATCCTATCGTTTGCCTTTATTGGGAACGTTTTGCCCATGACTTCGCTGGAGATTGTTGGCTTGCGAGTTGGTGGTGAACTCTTGAACAACAGACTGCAAAAGATAGCATGGTTCACCTGCCTCATCCTGCAGATTTGGCCAACGAAATCACTGTGTCATACTGTCATAGTGCTATCATATTTGTAAGTTTTTTGGACGCTGTTTGGGTGGTGATTCAACGAGGCGGGCGTAAATCTACGCACATGTGCACATGTGTTATGACTATATATACTATGACTATAAATAATGAATGAAGGATAAGACGCTTTTAAGACTTGGCAGTGCAGTTAGGTCTCTCAGGAACCTTGCGCTGGGAAGCATGCACGTTTGCTGCATTTTGAGTGTTTCAGTGCTTCACTGCATTGTTTGACAGCTGTTCCCATGTCATTATTACAATGCTATACATATATAATTATATAGCATTTAATGTCTCCATAATTAAGCACAGAACAGATTAATATTCCACCGCAGCATCGGGCTCTTTAAGGTTTTTGGATGGAAGGAGGGGGTCAGAGCTCTTCTCCCAGTTTCCCCGTTCGTGAGGGGAACACTGTGTGCCTGGTGCGCCGCAAGGCCTTTCAACTGGCGCGTGCAATCCAACAGCTGTTCTGAACTTGGTGATGGAGATTCTGGACCAAGCGTTCACCGTGGCATGCCCGAGACTTTGCAGCGTGCCCGAGATCTCACCGTCGAGTATGGCGTGGTCGAAGCCCAGGGGAGCAGGCCAGGTGCTCTCAGCGGTAGAGGAGAGAGTTCGATTGCCCCCGAAGAGCCCCCGACAAGAAGCGCAGCCCTAGTTGAGGAGCCTGTCAAGAGGAGGACACCTATTTGCCCCGCAGCTCAGCCCAAGTCCCCGTGCGGAGTCCAACTGCCAAAGCAAGTGCGGAAGTGAGCGCACCACCACCAGCAGAGAACAAGCGCCCCGTCCTTATCAGTGCCGCCAGAAACCCACCGTTGCCCGAGAGACCCTTTGGGACTGTCACCCAAGATCCAAACTCCCAGTTCCAGCGCCCAGCCAGCAGCCCTCTGGATCTCATCGAGGTCGATCCTCGAAGGAAGAGCATCCCACCACCAGTGCCAAAAAGAAACCAGCACCCGAAGAGATTAAACCAGCTGCGGCATCCACCCCAGGCTCACCTGAAGAGTGCGCCAGGGAGGAGTTGAAGTTGAAGGGGAGTTCGCACAAGAGGAAGGCAGAGGGAAAAGAAGAAGAGCTCCCCCACTAACTAGCAGTTCAGAGGAGAGCAGAAAGAATAGAAAGAAGCGAAAGAGACAGCGCAGGAGCAGTGGACACAAGCGAAAGAAGCGAGCGTCGACTTCGACAAGCTTGGTGACCGGTCCAAGGGTGAGGGCAGCCAAGCAAAAGGAGAAGAAGCGGGTGCCAACACCTCCAAGACCCACAAAAACATAGTCCTCCGGGTCCTCCGCCCAAGCCACCACCAGTGCCTGGCCCAGGCTGGATTGGGCGCGTTCCTCGCAGTGACCATTCCAGGTGGTACGTGGGGAAGAACAAAGGGCTGAAGCGCCGAGCTAAGCAAGAGCGTTACAACAGTTGGTGGTGATGGCTTTGCAATTGAGGCCAGCGGCCAGTGAGGAGGAAGCCGGCCTCGAGGATTCAGGAGCCAAGTTCCACTACCTCATTGGTTTGACAGCTGCGCAGATGACCTCTGGGCCTGGTAGACTTGTTGGGCGCTCAACATTAGGTAGACTTGTCGGGCGCTCAACATTATGGTGGGCACGTGAGCGTTTGTCGCTACATCACGGGCGTGGGCCGAGATGTGAACTTTCTGGAGTTTCGGGTGACTGGAACTCAAACTCAGACTTTGGGTGAGAGCTTGAGCGACCCGAGCAGGCGCTTGATGCAATTGTGCGCGCATTTGCCCTAAAGATTGCAGTCATCTTGAGACAGGGCCGGATGTGTTGCATGCAAACGGGTATTGGATCGTGGGCGCATAACCTGTTCGAGGTCGAGAAGCCGCATGCCATGGGGTGTGGCTTAAACTCTGACCGCAAGCATGCTTTGCGTGATGCTCGTTCATGCCAGCCTCGTGGACGCCGCGGACTGTGCAGTCATGAACCAGGCATATGGTCACGAACCTTGCATGGTTGGTTGACGCACTCGAGATCGCCGTAGGAGGTGTGCGCAAACTGCCCTTGGCAGGCATGTTGGCGCTGCAGGCTCATTGTCGACGAAACAAATTCATACCGTTGGCGTCAGGTGGCCCCGAAGGTGGCGCTGCCACTTTCACACCGTCTCGTCCCAAGCGCCCGGGCGAAAGCCTGCAGGTTTGGAGCTCTGCTCTGATGACGGCGTGGGGCGTTGGAAGGCTGATGAACCCAGGTTCCCACCTTACACCGGAGGGAGAACTGTCTTGTCAATGCACAGTCGCAGGTTCGAGTTCCCAATTTTTGTGAGTGCGAATATAGGTTTTTTCCTGAGTTTTTGTTGGCGAGCGGGGAGCTAGTTAATTATTCTTTTAGGGCCGATGGGCCGCAGCTAAAACCGCTAGGATCTATCTAGTCGAACGGCTGGCCCAATTGTCTGAGATTCAAGTCCCTAATTCACGTTTGCGGACTTATACAGCTCTGTATTTTCAGAACCCGATCCTTGAGCTTGGAAAAGCAAGGAAAACTTTTTGCACGAAGGGGGATTGCGGGTGAACGCCTCCGTCTGACTTCCCAAAAGGTTGGTGCATCAGGGTGGCCATTCTTCAGAAGGTGTTCGAGCCCAGGCTCCGGTTTGGCGGTAGTAGCCTTGGGGGCACCTGGATGCAGTCACTTTTTCTCTGGTTTGGCGGGAAAATGTGAGTGTCGGGGCCCCGTGAAGAAACAGGTACTTGCACTTGTGAGTGCTTCGTTGCTTGGACAAACTTGCTGCGACGCGTGGAAGAATGATCTGTGGCTGTGCGTGTATATAGGTATATACTTGCTATGATGACCCTTGTTGAAGAACGTGCCAAGACTGCTGATCGGTACTTCCAAATGATTGTATGCCCCAGGGCCATCAGTTTATTGACCCTTGGCTTGGCCAAGGCAGCAGAAAAAGAGATGAAGAGCACGGACAGCCGCACGGCAAGAGCCTCACATTGCGGAAAGTGCAGTGACAACATGGTGTTTTTAAAATGTTGGGCCCGCACACCGCGGACAAGACAAACTACCTTTGAAGATGGGCAACATGGCGCAATTTCACAAAAACACGCAACGCTGCTATGACCGGAGGGTCTTGCTTTGTTGGTACATGGTTCCGGCTTTTGAGCGCAAAAACTCAGAGCGGTTTCCGTGTGCCATTCTCACCGAGGAGCGCTTGCAGCCGCTGCCTCCTTATCTCGTTTACTTGATGGCAGACGGCTTTTGTGTTTTCAGCTGGTTGGACTCGGCTATTTTTCGTTCAATACACTATGACCTGTAATTGCACTGTGCTCTCGCAGACGCACTGCATGTTCCATGTTCGCCGACATGATTACCACTTGGTTTGCGCGGCCATACATCAGCTTTATTTTCAGATTGGACGAGTCATGCTTAGGCCTAAGCTGCATTTGCGGAAGCAACTGGGTGAAACACATGTCGCGAGATGCTCAGACACAGACTTACTTTGAACATGGAAAACGTGTAAATTGGGATGGGAACAAAGTGCATGCACTCCCTCTTATAAGCTGTGCCCACATCTGAGGCTGCTAGCGTTTGGCCAGCGACACGTAATCAATCCCAATAGTGTTTGCAGCTGCACGCACCCTGCGGCTTTATGCCAGCTGCGTCCCTGCCTTCCACGTTAAAGTGCACTTGAAAGAGTGTTGGACCATCGTGCACCCATTGCCAATGTTTTTGCACGTAGTGAGTTGCTTAAGAAGCATTTGAGCAGTCCTACCTATTATGCGTATTTTCTGAACGTGCGGTCGCGCGGTCATTATGCGGGGAAGATGGATGTGCGTGTAAAGTCCGCATCCACTTGCTTCTTTATTCTACATACTCCGTGGGACGTAGCTTCCTCTTTCAAGGTCTTTGGCAAGAATGGGCTTGATGCCATTGAGGAGAGCAATGTGGTTTGCTCATGCTTGAGCAAAATCAGAGCGTCCATGCACGCCAGGACCACAAAGGATCTCCAAAGGAGTCCATCGAGAGGTGTTGTTTTGTGGTGAGTGTAGAATCTTTGTTCCTTTTCATCCTTCAACCGAGTGGCAGGTTTCAGCCACCACGACGAGCTGACGAGACAAAGGAAGCTTTTTCAGTCTCCCGATGCCGAGCAGAACGGGAATGACAAGTAGTTTTTTGTAGAAAGTTGGTGTTGAAGAGCCCCGTTTGTCCACTACTTAAGATTCAAGAGTGTTTTATTCAAACGGGGGAGAAACTTTGCGCGCAGGACCTTTTGAAGCTCCAAGACCGAGGAAGCCCAAGAGCTCAAGCCATCGCAGAAAAGTTGTGTAAGCGAACAATGCAACTGAAGGCCTCGGAAGTGAAGAACATGCCGTGTGGGATAAGATTTTTAGATGTTCATGGAGCCTACACACATATATCATATATATATATTAATATTAATATATATGTGTATATATATAAAGCATGTTCCAAAGGTTACACCTGACTGGGGAGGAGTCTTTGAGAATGCCACATGATGGAGCTGCAGTCTCAGTTTGTCACAAACAATGCACACAGTCTCAATTGAGTCAGGTGGAGCTGCAAGCTTGTGAGCAGGAAGAAAGAATGCTGCGGCTTCTTGCCTCAGTTTGCTCTATGGAAACTGAAGTGAGGGTGCAAGCTGACTGTGGCATGTATCTATAGGATTTAACCCGACCTCACCCGACCTCACTTGGAAATAACGACCTAGGTTTGAAAATAAGAACCATACTTTTTTGTTAAAAAAGAACAAACCCTCAGGAGTGTGGTGACCCATCCGGGTGAAAAGTTTTCGAAAGGGTCATGGGTTCCGCCGAAGATTGGCTAAAAACACTTGAAGAATAACGGCGTGTTGGAACTAGGGTTGATTTTGGCCACCCAAAAATGCAAGTTCCACAGTGTGAGTGGTTGACACTGGCGCAAGCAGCAGCGCAACAGCAGCAGCACCACCAGCTGCTGACCAGCCGCGGGCCAGGGCACGTGGACAGGAAAGACGGGCGAGCAGGATTCGAACCGGTGTTATACTGTTATTTAGGGGACTATGCCTTAGAGACGGGGGATGGTATCGCGCGGCTAGCCAAGCTTAAGCAAAGAGGGCAGCCGAAGCCGCTCAGAAAGCAGCAGGGTCGGGCATGTGAGCCGGGCGGGCGTGGAGAGAAAATATACTTTCCCGGCCCGGGAAAGTTTTTTCCTGGTTTTTGGGTTCTATGGCCCGGTCGAAGGGGCCAGCGTCAAACAATCGAGTCAACAGTCAACAGCAAGTTGAGTGGCCACTGCCCTCTCTAGCCCGAAAGCCACAGCAGAAGAGTTTGGAGAAAAATACTTTCCCGGCCTGGGAAAGTTTTTTTCCTGGATTTTGGGTTCCGTGGGCGGCTTCCTGGTAAAAGCGGCCAGCATCAAACAATCTAGTCAACAGTAAGTTGAGTGGCCACTGCCCTCCCTGCTCTTGCAGACGAGTTAGGAAATACTTTCCCGCGGCGACCGTGCAGAGCATGCAAGTCGGCCAAGTCCAAAGCGGTTGAGACGGGTGGCAGTTCCCAGTGCAAAGCCCGACTAAAGAAGGAGTGAGTGAAAAAAGGCCCATGGCATTTGCAAGGGTTTGGTGTTTTCGGGCTGGAAGACAGGTGTCGTTGTCGCTTGTCCAAAGGTTCGTGTTAATCCCCTCACAGAAGTTCGTACAAGGGTTTGTTCACAGAAGTCTTCACAAGTGCCGGTCAGCCTGGGTACCAGTGGCTGCCCCTACTCCAGTTTCGTCACTCCGGTGAAGGCCCAAAGTTTCCCCACTGATTCGATGTTTTCTTCCGAATGTCTGTCCCCTGCCAGGCCTGCCTCGCCTGCGACCTGCAGCGCCTGCAGCGACAGGGGGCAACCTAAAATAAATTCATAATTTCACCCGAGGTCACTAAATCAAGGTTTTTTTTTCCGCGACGACTACGACCTAAGAAATAACTTAAATCACGCAGATGTATGGGGGTCACGAGTAAGTTTGTCTCAACCAGCCAAAATGGTTGTGGCTGGATCTTGGGAGTTCCGAAGAACAGTCATTTGTGACCCAAGTGTTGAGTGCATAAGGCAGCGGCTCTCCCGCCTGGGGCACCAAAGCAAGGTCTCGCGCTTGGCTTTGAACTTGCAGCCGGTGATTGCCCATATTGCTTGCTGGAGGCACATCGCCAAAGACAGTGGGAAAGACAAGCTCTTCACAAGGAAAGAGCCAGACTTGCTTCGGCAGCTAGCCCTTGAGTTGGATTAAGCAATTGCCTTTGAGGACTGGGGTGAAGGTGCAAAGACCTGGCTAGCTTGGAAGGCTGCAGCAAGAGTAGACTTTGACAAATGGACAAATAGAGGAGGCTAAGTAAGAGGAGACTGAGGAGACCTAGAGTACACAGAATCATTGGGTCAATCTGTCATGTGTACAATTTACTTTTTATGGGATGAATTTGGCGCGTGGGTTGAACTGCCAAAGGCCTTTGCCGAAAAGAGCGTCCAAGAGGCCGGCTGCAGATCTTAAAGTATTCCATAGTATTCCCTGCGCCCTACAAAAAACCTAGGAATATATAGAATGTTACTACTTTGAAGAATGAGCGCTTGATGCCTTTGGTCACATGGTTTTCAATCTGCCAGGATCGGGATTTGTTGGATTTGTCTCTAGTGCACACATGTGTGCCCCCTGGCCCCGAATCAAAGTGGCATTCGACAAAATTTAAAAAGCATGTGTTTGGGCTGCGCCAGCTCCATATAGACCACCCCTTAGTCAAGGAGTTGCAGCAAACAATCTTTTGGCTGCTTTCTTGCTGTAATGTAGCAGATACCACGGCCAAGACACACATATTCCGAATATGGTGGCGGTGGTGACAGTGGGATTTGAGCTGGTGGCAATGCTGTTTGGGGATGTTTGTTCCCCACATCTCTGTGTGGGGTTCTAGTTTTGTTGGCTGCCATCCCGCCCGCATCCGTCCTTCCTTCCCTCCGTCCTCCTCGCCCCCTCCTCCACTCACTCGCTCCTCTCACTCACTCACTCACTCAC